GGCGGGCGGGTTCGTGGGCGGCCCGGCGGGCGGCCTGTGGCTGTTCCCGGCGGCGGGGTCGGGCGGCGGTCTGGAGGAGCGGGGCTACCAGGTGCGGGCGGCGCGGGCGGCGCTGGAGGCCAACACGCTCCTCTGCCTGCCCACCGGCCTGGGCAAGACGCTGGTGGCCGCCGTCGTCCTCCACAACTTCTACCGCTGGTTCCCCGCCGGCCGCGCCGTCTTCCTGGCGCCCACCAAGCCCCTCGTCGCCCAGCAGCGCGACGCCTGCGCCCGCCTCCTCCGCCTGCCCCGCCGCGCCATGGCCCAGATGACCGGTGCGTGGCCCCGGACCCCCCCCCTCTCTCTCTGCGGGTCCAGATACACCCAGTCATGCACCTGTCAGCCTGGTTGTGTGTGAGCCGGTTGGGTGCAGGGCTCCCCCTCTAAGCCGTGGAGTCTTGTGAGCAAAGATTCCACTTTGTGAGCCAGCGATTTGGCTGCTGCATTAATTTGTTTCCTCTGGAGCAATGCTCCCTCTAAGCCATGGAATCTTGTGAGCAAAAATTCTGCTCTGTGAGCTCCGGGCATTAGAGTTGTGAGCCGGAGCGATTTGGCTGCTGCGTCAATTCGTTTCCTCTGGAGCAATGCTCCCTCTAAGCCGTGGAGTCTTGTGAGCAAAGATTCTACTTTGTGAGCTATGGGCATTAGTGTTGTGAGCCAGAGCAATTTGGCTATACTGCATAAATTAGTTTGCTCTGGAGCCCTCCTTCCTGAGCTGAGACCAAAATGTGTGAGCCGGGGGCTAAAAAACGGTGAGCTGGGTCACACTAACTCATCTTAGAGGTCCCAGGTTCATTCCCCAGCATCTCCAGTTTAAAAGAACCAGGCAGGAGGTGATGGGAAAGACCTCAGCCCGAGACCTTGGGGAGCTGCTGCTGTCAGGCTGGGTTGACAATACTGACCTTGATGGGCCAAGGGTCTGCTTCAGTATAAGCAGCTTCAGATACGCCCATAAAAGTGGGGAGGAGCCATGGCTCAGTGGAAGAGCCTCTGCTTGGCAGGCAGAAGGTCCCAGGTTCAATCCCCGGCAGCATCTCCAGTTAAAAGGACCAGGCAGTAGGTGATGGGAAAGTCCTCTTTCTGAGATCCTGGAGAGCCGCTACCACTCTGAGTAGACAATACAGACTTCGATGGACCAAGGGTCTGATTCAGTATGAGGCAGTTTTATGTGGTTTCTCATAGCGGTTGCACTGGTCCACTTCAAGGCTTTGTTCACTCACAGTGACTGCTTTGGTAAGATAGGAGTTTACTGAAACAAATTATTTCTGAGGGGTCTTAGGCTGCAGTTAAATTGTAACTTTGTTGTTGTAACTTGTAACTTTGTTGTAACTTGACTCCACTGATGGTTGTTGGAACTGCATCCAAAATTCTCTGGCCTCCAACATCTGTGTCTTTCTACCCTTAAACGGATAATGCAAGTTGTAACTACATGACTGGTCATGTTTTGCCATCTATTTCAGGATACTGTTTTTAGCTAGGACATGATGTTTGGTTAGATACAGAGGGACAGCTGAGTGTTTAAAGCAATAATTTTATCTCAACGGTTACTTTTGGAGGCCTGCACTGATGGTTGTTTATGTTCTAGGAGGTACCCAAGTTGCCGATCGGAAAGAGCTCTGGCAGAACAGGAGGGTCTTCTTCCTTACCCCTCAAATAATGGTTAATGATCTTTCCCGTGGAATGTGCCCTGCAGCGGAAGTCAAGTGTCTGGTTATCGATGAGGCCCATAAAGCACTTGGAAATCATGCCTATTGCCAGGTACTATGAACTGTGCAGAACTTAATGCTGTGTCTCTGTCTTGTTGAAGAGGTCTTTTTCTCTCTCAAGTTCTTGATTTATTTAAGTCATGATTTTAAAAAGAAGCGGCAGCATTACAATTGCTTTCCCTTCCTCTTCTTGCAACAAGGCACCTTATGAGGTAGGTGGGGCTGAAAGAGTTCCAAGAGAACTGGGACCGGCTCAAGGTCACCCAGCAGCAGGCTTCATGTTTATTTATTTATTATTAAATTTATACCCTGCCCTTCCCCATGGGGCTCAGGGCAGCTTACATGGCAAGAGAAAAACTTGCTAATAAAACATCAATACTTTAGTACAGTTAAAAAATATAATATACAATTTAAAACCCATTCAAACATTAAAGTTCATGTGGGGGAAGAGTGGGGAATCAAACCCAGTGCTCCAGATTAGAGGTCGCCACTCTTGACCACTACACCACGCTGGCTCAGTGATTTATTTGAAGCAAAATGTCCAGGAGGCATTTTGGGCCTGTGGTGAAATGTGTCGATTTCAGCCTGCTCAGTGCTTCAGTGGATGGCTGTTCTGGAGCTCCCCCCCCCCCCCCCGAGCCTTGCAGGTGTTTACATGACAGTCACATTGTGCGGAAGCTGTTATAAGTGACAAAACCTGACAGATTTGGGACTATCGGGAATCCATTAAGTGGGCCTACTGCAATCACACCAACTCTACATTGAATTTGCTTGTTGACACCCTTCTGTTTCGACTTCAGCTCCATAATCACATCTCTAGAATAAGAAAGGAAATAGCAAGAGAAATATGCTGGGTGTCCGTTGTGCACCACTAGGTGGCTCTGTGAGTCTCACGAGTGCCAGGTGGAAAGCTGGCTGGTACTGATCTTATAAAAGTAATATGTGAAGTTGACCGTGTCACGCAAGACTGCATTCGGGGAACTTCTGTGAACAGCTTATGTATTCTTGAACTTGGTCAGGATCAGTCTGTTTTCCTGATGTTTCTTATTGCCTCCTTTGAGGGTCTTTGAAGAGCTCACAGCTCAATGGTGAAGTGCACAATTATATGAATGTTATCTTACCTGTGCTCTAGGATGATGTAAGTTCTGTGAACTTAGGCAGGTCATGAGAGGGAGGGCAGGAAGGGTTGCCTCAGTGCTTAGTTCTTGTGGCCCTTTCTTACACGCCCAGGGAAATGCTGATGGCCACTTTGGGGTCAGGAAGCAGTTTTATCCAGGCCAGTTTGACCAGGGATCCTGGAGATTTTTTTGTCATCTTCTGGGCATGGAGCAGGGGGTCACCGGGGGTGTGTGGTGGGGGAGGTATTTGTGAGTTTCCTGCATTGTCCAGTGGGTTAGACTAGATGACCCTGGAGGTCCCATCCAGCTCTATGATTCTGTGTATGTGATCCCTCCCGTTCTCTCCTTACAGTATCGCTATACTGTAGGGTAGGCTGAGGGTTGTTGACTGATCCAAGGTCACAATAATAATAATAATAATAGATTGGATTTATACCCCGCCCTTCACTACCCAAAGGTGTCTCAGAGCGGCTTACAAACTCCTTCCCCTTCCCCTCCCCACAACAGACACCCTGTGAGGTAGGTGAGGCTGAGAGAGCTCTGGCAGAAACTGCTCTTTTTCAAGGACAGCTCTTGTCAGAACTACGGCTTGCCCAAGGTCATCCAGCCAGGTGCAAGTGGAGGAGTGGGGGATCAAACCCGGTTCTCCCAGATTAGAGTCCGCGCACTTAGCCACTACACCAAACTGGCTCCCTGTGGCTGTGTGTGGGTATGGCCCCAACTCTCCTCAGTGGAAGTCCAGCGTTTAAATTACTTTCCTGAACGAGGTGCCTGCTGCAGCCTTTGGTATCTTCCGCTGAAAGGTCTTTGAGTAGCAGGAGCGAGAGAAAGCTCTCATTCAGGCTATGGGGAGTTTATGATAATATTGGGCTACATAAAGTCAGCTTCATGCTTTTTAAGCACTTTTGATTTAGTTATTCACATATGCCTGTTATTGTTCATAGCTTGGCATCCTGTGCGTTCTCATTCATGTTTCACCCAGTTTCTATCAGGGTCCTGAATGATCTAATAAAGCAAGATCTGAACTGCTTATATATTAGTGTAGCAATAGCCTTGCCGGTTTGTGTCTTGAATTAGAACTTTGAAGGGGAAAAATGCAACCACATTTGGTGATGAAGCACGTGATTTCCCCACCCTTTAGGTTGTGAAGGAATTGTGCAAATACACCCAGCAGTTCCGTATCCTGGCTCTGAGTGCCACCCCGGGAAGCGACACGAAGGTAAGCAGGGAACCCCTGTGATGCAGGGAACCCCTTTGCTGCAGGGGCCTCTCTTGGCCTCTGTCTCAGTTCAGTAGCTGCCTTTCCCCCCGTCTTGTTTCTGTTTCATTCGGTTTCCATCCATGAGCTGCCTACAGCAGCACGGATGTAATTCAGGAGGTTCTGCTTTTGCCTCCTCCTCCTCATCCATCTGCATTGTGCAGCCAATTCCTCCCTGGGACCACTGCGGAACGTAATGGGGTAGTTAGGAGTGTGTTTCTTTAACATTAGCTTTAATAAAAATTGAATGTAAGCCACCTTGCAGACCTTGAGGCAGAGGTGCAGATATAAAATCAGCAATCTAATAGTTATTCTAAACATACACATTACAGATTGAAAGATTCAAGTCCAGTACTGCCTTAGAGACCAACCCCAAAAATATTTTTTTTTGGGGGGGTGAATAAGCTTTTGAGAGTGTCTGGTTTTTAGTGTGCTAAGATTGCCTTTAAGAACTGCAAGTCGATGGTTAACTGCCTTGTCGTGTCTTCATAGGCTGTGCAGCAAGTGATTTCCAATCTGTTGATTTCACACATTGAACTCTGTTCTGAAGATTCCCCTGAAATTCAGCCTTATTCCTATGAACGACTGGTTGAAAAATGTGTGGTTCCCCTTGGGGAAGAACTGTCTGAAATGCGGGCTGCTTACATCCAGGTGAGTTGGCCAGATGGCTCCATGCGAGAGAGGATGGCGATGGGGGTGGGGTGGGGAGCAGTGTGTAACAATGGCGGAAAAACCAGACAGAGGGTTGGACCTTTTGCGTGAATCCCTGCGTTTATCATCTTGTTGAAGAAGCTCTTCTTATCCAGCTTGGGCAATAAAAGCTCAAGTTTACTTTTGCAACTGTGGCTTTGTTTTGCGGTTTGTTTTGAATTTTGTGAAGAGGTACGTTTGGAGTGGAACAAAGTTCTCTGTTTTGAAAGCAGCAGAAAAACAGAAGTTGGTCCCTTAAAGTGTGAAGGACCGATTGAAGCATAAGCTGTGTGCTAGAGTGCAGTTCATCAGGTACAGTGAACAGGTTCTCTGTCCCTACGTTACTGCTGGTTGAGAATTCACTTCAGTTATCTACCCCGTGGGAGTCTGTGCTTTAATAAATTGGTCTGTAAAGTCTTCCCTTCTTTTTCTGTGATGAGCATTCTGCTTTGGAGATCTGTAATGTGGGAACACCGTCAAGCGTCATTACAGCAGTGTGAATGGTTGTGCAAAGGAACTTGGGACTTCTGACCCTGGGTGGAGGCGAACTGCCATTTGACTACTTTACAATGTGAACTTGCTGCCGGAGGATGTAGTGATGGCCACAGCAATAAACAGCTTTAAAAGGGGATTAGAGAAGTCTATCAATGGCTACTAGCCATGGTGGCTGAGGGAAACCTCCACATTCAGAGGCACTAAACCTCTGAATCCCAGAGCCAGCAGGCAACATCAGGGAAAGGCCTCAGCCTCTATGCTCTCTTGTTGGCCCTCTGGAAGAATGGTTGGCCACTGAGTGAGACAGGACGCTGGACTAGATGGTCTATTGGTCTGATCCAGCAGGGCTCTTCTGATGTTCTTATGAAGGCCTCGGCCTCTCTGCCCTGTTGTTGGCCCTCCAGAGGAACTGGTTGGCCACTCTTGTGTGAGACAGGATGCTGGACTAGATGGACCCCTGGTCTGATCCAGCAGGGCAGTTCTGATGTGCTTATCAGGGGAAGGCCTTGGCCTCTCTGCCCTGTTGTTGGCCCTCCAAAGGAACTAGTTGGCCATTGTCTGAGACCGGACGCTGGACTAGATGGTCTATTGGTCTGATCCAGCAGGGCTCTTCTGATGTTCTTATGACATGTTGGCATTCCAGGTAACCGGTGCTGTAGACTAACAACTGGGCACTGCATGTCCTAATGGAAGGCTGCTGTTTGCAGGAGGGGGAGTGCGACTAGAGCTGCTGCCATCCTTTGCTGCATGGTCCAATCCAAGCCATTTAGCACTTCTCCTTGACGTGGCAGCTTTTGTGGGGGGTCCTTGGATGTACATATTGACGGTGCATCGTTCCTAAGCAGCTAAGATTCTGACAGTCATTCTATATGATGGGGGCAGAATTTATTTTATACTCTGCCTTTCTCTCCTCCTTCAAAACAATTTCATTGCTTTTCAACTACCATCCTGTGTGTGAACGTATTCTTGTTGATCAGAGGAGGCAGCGGCTGCGGGAAACTCATGGTGAAAATTTGACTCTGAGCACTAGAAGGACAAAGGGCTCTGTGTACTGTGTCCAGTTTTGGGCACCACATTTTAGGAAGGATGTTGACAAGCTCGAGCGTGTCCAGAAGAGGGCAACTAGGATGGTGAGAGGGTTGGAATCCAAGTCTTATTACGAGGAAAGGCTGAAAGAGTTGGGTCTGTTTAGCCTGGGAAAAAGAAGGGTTAGAAGGGACATGATTGAACTCTTCAAATATCTGAAGGGCTGTCATGTAGGAGATGGAGCAGATCTATTCTCTCTTGCTCCGGATCGCAAGACTAGATCTACTGGGTGGGAATTACAAGGGAGTCGATACCGGCTAAATACCAGGAGAAACTTCCTAATTGTAAGAGTGGTTGAGCAGTGGAACAGACTGCCTCAGGAGGTGGTGGATGCTCCTTCGCTGGACGTTTCCAAGCGGAGGCTGGACGACCATCTTCCGGGTATGTTGTAGGTATGTAGGACTATCTTTCGGCTGTGCTCCTGCAGAGTGCAGGGGGTTGGACTAGATGACCTGCAAGGTCCCTTCCAACTCTAACATTCTATGATTCTATGGAAGGGCTCTCTTGTGCCCCTGTCTGGCACTCCCAAGAGCCTTACATTCTGTGCCCTGGCAAGGTTGTTTGAGCTGTGGCTTCGAGGGGGCACACGAGTGAGTGCAGGGTGTGCGCAATGGCTGTGGCAAGCGAGTGTGTGTTGGTCAGGGCAGCCTCAGAAACATAGAGGAACAAAGTAGGGTGGAAGCATCTCTCTCCTCGTTTTCCTCTCAACGTTTTGCATCTGTCCTGCAGGCATATCTGCTTTCCTTCTGCAAGGTCTGCGGTCTGCACCTTCCAATGATATGGACATTGACGTTCCCCCACATTTCACAGCGTGCTACTTGGGCAGGGCGGATTTAAGCCATGTGATGCCTTCAGCACAGCCCAACAATGGTGCCCCTCAGCCTTTTCATTGCTTAACTGACCAGACATTAAGACTGAAGGTGAAATAAGAGATTAAAAATTAAGTTTTCTTCCAGGCCAGACACCAATAGCTGCCAAGTGTGGCAATGAAAGAGTTAAGGGCATGATAGGTAGGGCGAACGACTCGGTGGTGGCCCCCTTCCCTTGGTGCCCTCACAGGGTGTTTGTGGTAAGGAGTTTGTAAGCTCCTCTGAGACTCCTCTGAGACTCCTTTGGGTAGTGAAGGGCGGGGTATAAATCCAATCTCTTTTTCTTCTACGAGGTGATCCATTTACGAAACAAGTAAACTGTGGTCAGCTGCAAAACGTAGGGCCCCTTGTAGAGAGAGGCCAGGTCAGATTTCAAGAGCAAGGATGGTCGTGGAACTGGGCAGTCGTGAGACAGGAGGTCTGTGTAAAATCACGAACTGTCCTCTTCAGAAATAGAGGTGTTTGGCAAATATTCTTTCTGGTACTCAAAGTACACAAAAGCTCATATCTGGAATAAACCTCAGTTGGGCTTAGAGGTGGCACTGGACTCAAAATTTGTTCAACTAGAAGCCTTCCTTTCCTTTCCTTTCCTTTCCTTTCCTTTCCTTTCCTTTCCTTTCCTTTCCTTTCCTTTCCTTTCCTTTCTTGAATCCTAGAGTTGGAAGGGGCCATACAGACCATCTAGTCCAACCCCCCTACCCAATACAGGACCAGCCTAAAGCATCTCTGACAAATATTCGTCCAGCCTCTTCTTGAAAGCTGTCAGTGAAGGGGAGCTCACCACCTCCCCAGGCAGCTGATTGCACCTTTGAACCACTCTGACCGTGAAAAAGTTCTCCTAATATCCAGCCGATACCTTCCTGCATTTCATTTAAACCCGTTACTTTGGGTCCTCTCCTCTGCTGCCAACTGGAACAGCTCCTTGCCCTCCTCCAAAGGACAGCCTTTCAAATACTTCAAGAGAGCAATCCTGTCCCCCCCTCAATCTCTTCTTCTCCAAACGAAACCTTCCCAGGGCCCTTAGCCTTTCCTCGTAGGGCTCAGTCTCCAGACCCCTGATCATCCTCATCGCTCTCTTCTGCACCCTCTCGATTTTGCCCACATCCTTTTTGAAGTGAGGCCTCCAGAACTGCACACAGGACTCCAGGTGCGGCCTGACCCAGGCAGTCTACAGAGGGGCCGTGACCTGCGATTTTGATGCTATGGCCCTTTTGATACAACCCAAGACTGAATTTGCCTTTTTGCCACCGGATCACACTTGACTGCTCATATTCAGTTTACAGTCCACCCTTACCCCAAGATCTCTTTCGCACACACCACTCCCCGGAAACGTATCCCCCATCCAGTATTTGTGCTTGACATTGTTGTGGCCCAGATGTAAGACTGTGCATTTATCTTTGTTGAATTGCATCCTGTTTGCAACTGCCCACTTCTCCAGAGTATTCAGGTCTTGTTGAATTTTAACTCTACCTTCTTGGGTGTTTGCTACTTCCAATTTGGTATCATCAGCAAATTTAATGAGTAGCCCTTCTACCCCTTCATTCAGATCATTGATAAACATATTGAAAAGTACCGGGCCCAAAACCGAGCCCTGCGGCACCCCGCTGGACACCTCCCTCCAATCTGATGAAACGCCATTGACCACCCCTCTTTGGGTGCAGTCCTCCAACCAGTTCCCTCTCCACCGAACTGTCCTATAGTCCAGCCCACAGTCTTCCAGTTTGCCCATCAGAATGCCATGGGGAACCTTATCAAAAGCTTTACTGAAATCCGGGTACATCACATCAACAGAGTTCCCACGATCCAGTAAGCTCGTCACACGATCAAAGAAGGAAACCAGGTTGGTCTGACAAGATCTGTTGGGGACAAAACCATGCTGATTTCCCCGGATCACTAAGTGGTCCTTCAGGTGCTTACAGACTGATCCCTTTAAAATCTGCTCTAATATCTTCCCAGCAACAGAAGTCAGACTCACTGGCCTGTAATTTCCCAGGTCCTCCTTCTTCCCTTTCTTAAAGATAGGGATAACATTCGCTCTTCTCCAATACTAATGCTTAATTTAATGTGGACTTTTTTTGTATGCCGTATTACAAACTGTTTGAAAGCAGCAGCTGTAGCATACTCACTTGGCCTGGCTTCAGTCTGTAGCTCTAATGAGACAGGAAATCTAAGTTTCAATTCGGACAGAACTGACACCTAGGTTTTGTGTCTCATCATCAGCGCCGATTTCTCCACTCCCACTACCCCTCTGCCTATTGCACCTAATCCAGTCACACCTGCTGTTGTCATTTGCTTGCTATTGTCATTTGGCACCCGAATTTGCTCCACTTTGCACGATACGAGGACAGAGGAACTCACATCCTAGCTGTATCTGAAGAAGTGAGAAGTGACTCACGAGAGCTCCTCCCCTGCCCCCAGTTCTGTTAGTCTTCAAGATGCTTCTGGACTTCTGCTCTTTGCTACTGCTACAGACAGACTAACATGGCTGCCCGTCTGGATCTTTAGCTTGGAGAAACGACGACTGAGGGGTGACATGATTGAGGTTTATAAGATTATGCATGGGAAAGAGCAGGTAGAGAAAGAGGTACTTTTCTCCCTTTCTCACAATATGAGACCTCGTGGGCACTCCATGAAATTGCTGAGCGATCGGGTTAGAACGGATAAGAGGAAGTCCTTCTTCACCCAAAGAGTGATGAACATGTGGAATTCACTGCCACAGGAAGTGGTGGCAGCTACAAGCATGGACGGCTTCAAAAGGGAATTGGATAAGCCTATGGAGCAGACGTCCATCAGTGGCTATTAGCCACAAGGTATAGATAGGGGCTCTGGGGCAAGTGATACTCTGTTTTCTTTGTGCCTGGGGGGGGCAACAGTGGGAGGGCTTCTAGTGTCCTGGCCCCACTGGTGGACCTCCTGATGGCACCTGGTATTGATTGGCCACTGTGTGATACAGAGTGTTGGACGGGATGGGCCTTTGGCCTGATCCAACATTGGCATCTCTTATGTTCTTATGATCTGCCTTCTTGGAGTTCGCCATATCTCCTAATCCTCTTACACATTCCCATAAACTCCTTCATAACTGTGGGAACGACAATAAGCCTCTTAACAAAATGGCTCAAAGAACTGAGCCCCGAAAGGATTCAAGTAGCCAGGAATGATCCCGGAAGGGATCCTCTGCCCTCTCGGAATTTATGGGATGAGAGGAATCTGGGAAAATGAAGCCGGTCTGTGGGTGTTTATAATAGGGCGCATGCTCAGGAGCTGTGGACAGTCTGGCGCATTAGAACCACGTTCGTAGAACAGTCATTTGGAAAACTGTTTTATTTTGAACATTTCCCTCTTGCTCCTCAACCAGAAAACTAGTTCTCAGGGTGGTTTGCAGTAAACCGTTAAACATCAAAATACAATAAAATGAGCATACTAAAAATAGCAATATAATCCGAGCAAAGAAACACACTTTATCAAACACATAAAGGCATCGACATCGAAAGCCGTAAACAGTGACCAAGGTTGAAATATATGGGCAGCAACAGTTGGAACAGTTAAGCTACAATTAACATCACCAGGGGTCATGTCATAGAAAAAGAGGTGCAGGAGCTCATTAGCATAACCTATTTGCATAGGCCGCACCCCCTGACGTCACCGGAAGTGTGTCAGAAGGAAACACCCACTGCTTAAGCAGGCTCCACTGGACTGTTTTGGATTGCTAGCTATGGGGGGGGGGAGAATGTGCAGATCTGCCCTCGCAGAGGAGGGAGAGCTTGAACCTGAATAAAACTTGGTCTTAAAGGTGCCACTGGACTGTTTTGGACCAGGAGGGTGGGGTGGGGGCTCTGCAACTTACCTGGCTGCTCCTTGCTCTGACTGAGGGCTGCTGGGAGCAGGGGGTGGGGCTTGTTGCATGTGCCCGCCCCCTGGGCTCTTTACTGCCGGAGCTTCCCTCCTGTGCGCTCCTGCAGGAAATGACCCCTGAACATTACAGATAGGGAAAGAAACACCACCTTAAAGCGGAGGTCCCAGCCTGAGAGCACCTTTGGAATCCTGATATAGGGTGCTGGGGGCACAACCACACAATGCCTGCCGAAAGAGGCGGTGCCAGCTGCCGAGCCACGGGGAGTCAGGGTGTGCATAACTCTTCACCGTAGCTCTTCAACATTTCAGGCGGGCCCCGGCCGGGATAGCCCAGGCAAGCCCGCTCTCGGAAGCGAAGCAGGGCCGACCCTGGCAAGTATCTGGATGGGAGACCTCCAAGGGAGACCAGGGCCGGGAGGCGGAGGCAGGCTGTCAAAGCCACCTCTCTGAATGTCCTCGGTGCCCCAGTAGGAGTCGCCAGAGATTGCCATGGCTTCCAGGCATGGGTGCACACAAACACACACACACACACATTTTAGGCAGAAGCTCTGTTTAAGAGGATGCCTTTGAAAATGAACCCATAATTTAAAATGTTTTCTTGCCTGTGTGCATCTCTTCAGCCATGCAGCGAAGGTCTTTGTGCTGCGGTGCACAGCCAGTCAGCTCTCCGCCAGCTAAGCAGGCGTCCTGCCGGGCAAAAGACCCCTCTGACCTCACCCACTTTCTACAAACCCTTGGCAAGCACCAGGGGAGGTGTCCGCGCGTGCCGCGGCACCCCCAGGCACCACACTGGAGACCCTTGGCCTAAAGTCCAGTGTCGTGGTTCAGTGGGCGGACTCTGATCTGGGAGAACCGGCTTTGATTCCCCACTCCTCTTGCACGTGCAGCTGCTGGCATGACCCTGGGCCAGTCACAGTTCTCTCAGAGCTGTTCTCTCAAGGGCAGTTCTCTCAGAGCTCTCTCAGCCCCGCCTGCCTCACAGGGTGTCTGTTGTGGGGAGGGGGAGGAAAAGGAGTCTGTAAGCCGCTCTGAGACACCTTTGGGTAGTGAAGGGCCATGGGGTATAAATCCAATCTCCTCACCCTCCTCCTTTAACGTGGGGCCAAAAAGCCAACAGCTTTGGTTTCTCCCAACCCACGCAACCAGAGGTCCTTGGAGTGGAGATGCCAGAGGTTGAGTTTGGGACCGTCTGTGTGCCTGGCGGACGCTCCACCGCTCTGCCACAGCTCCTCCCTCCCTCCCTCTGGTGTGTCCCATTTTTGCTTTGTCTCCTGTGGAGAAAAGTGCTAGGAATCTTCAAACACTTCTACAGAACTTCAGCAGCAACTTGAAGAAATGGTTTCTGTTAGCAGGCAATAAGTACCTCAGGCTTCCCTTCTTGCGGGATATTATACCCATGCATTCTTAAGTCACTCGCTTTTCAGGTTAGTGGCTGTGTCAAACCCGGTCCTTTCAGCTGGCCTAGTGTGGTCCCAGTTGCACTTCTTCAGTGGGTCAGTAGACAACTCACGCGCCTTCACAGCTCATAGGCGGCCAGTTACGGTCTCTCCAGAAACCACATTTCATTCTGTCGATTAGCGGCCGCTGGATTGGTGTATACTGCAACAACGAAAGTGTCTTGCAAGTACAGATCAGGACTTTCCAGAAGTTCTGCCAGCAGATTTATTTCTCTTGCAATCGAATCTTCATCGGTGACTCCTCTGAAGCCCCTGTCAACATATCTCGCTTTAGACTTACAGCGTCCGAAGAGTCAGCATTATGACAAATAGTGTTATTTCAGTAATTGCAAGAATGGTAGAAAAGAGCCAGAGTCCAGGAGCATCTTAAAGACTAACAAAATCTGTGGCAGGGGAGGAGCTTTCGTGAGTCGCTGCTCACTTCTTCAGACGGAGCTAGAATGTGAGTCCAGCAGTGACTCATGAAAACTCACGCCCTGCCACAAATGTTGTTAACTAAATGCTGTTAGTCTTTAATTTGAAACACTTCTCCTATGAAGAAAGGTTAAAGCGCTTGGGGCTCTTTAGCTTGGAGGAATGACGCCTGAGGGGCAGTGTTTCCTCTAAGCTGAGTTGGTGTGAGCTAGCTCAGTTTTTTAGCCTCCAGCTCAGATTTTTGCCTTCACTCAGGAGGGATGGCCCCAGAGCAAACTGATTTATGCAATAGCCAGATTGCTCGCTCACAACTTTAATGCCAGTATCTCACAAAGTAGAAGTTTTGCTCACAGGACTCCACAGCTTAGAGGGAACATTGCTGAGGGGTATGATTGAGGTTTAGAAGATTATGCATGGGATAGAGCAGGTTGAGAAAGAAATACTTTTCTCCCTTTCTCACAATACAAGAACTCGTGGGCACTCAATGAGATTGCTGAGCAGTCTGGTTAGAACAGATAAAAGGAAGTCCTTCTTCACCCAAAGTGTGATTAACACATGGAACTCACTGCCACAGGAGGTGGTGGCGGCTACAGGCATGGACGGCTTCAAGAGGGAATTAGATAAGCATCCCTTGCCCCAGCCTGAGAGTGGCTATGAGCCACAAGGTATAGACAGGACTTCAGAGGATGGCGGAAAACAGGAGGGCCTGGCGAGATCTTGCCCATGGGGTCGCGAAGAGTCGGACTCGACTGTGCGACTGAACAACAACATAGATAGGAACTCTCGGTCTGGGGCAGGGGATGCTCTGTCTTCTTGGTGCTTGGGGGGGGGGCAACAGTGGGAGGGGGTTTCTAGTGTCCTGGCCCACTGCTGGACCTCCTGAGGGCCCCTGGTATTTTTGGCCACTGTGTGACTCAGAGTGTTGGACTGGAAGGGCCACTGGCCTGATCCAACATTGGCTTCTCTTATGTTCTTAAGTACTATACTGCTCTTGCTATTTCCTACTGCCACATACAGACTTTCACAGCTACCCATCTTGATCTATCTCCTTCCCTCTAAGAGCTCCTTCCTTCTAAGCCTACTGACTTCATGGCTCTGCTTAGGCTTGTGTTGTAAGACATTCCCATTTTACAGATGGACAGCTGAAGGTCGGAGGAGAGACTAATCTCGCTAGATCTTTCCGGGGCCCAGCTGCATCATACACTTTTTGTCTAATCTGACTGGTGGCAAAAATTAATGTGGATCACCATAAACGGTGATAATAATTATTCGCTACCTCGTTTAAGGGGTAACCTTGCAGCAGCAAAATCCATCATATGCAGGTTGGGTTTTTTCGTTTTGTTTTTGGTAGCAGGGTACATGAAGACCTTTTTTTGCTAGAAACTTTGCATCCATGCAGTGGAAATTGTTTTGAGATCTCTGCAGTGACAACTGAGGTTTTGCTAGACATTGGCCACATCTCAAGTTTGTTTCTGAAGCCAACCTATCTCTTTATCATCTTTATTTCTTCATTGTTAAATGCTCAGACACGCAACAAAAGTGAATATAGCAAATGAGATATTCAGGTGGAAGGCTGTGTTTTGAATTCCTCAACACTCTTCATAATGTTAAGAGGAAAGCAGTATATACAGCAGGGGTCCCCGACCTGCGGGCACCTTTGGCCTTCTGACAGTGTGGTGGGCCCAGCCACAAAATGGCTGCTGCAGGAGGCGGAGCTAGCCACAAAATGGGTGCCCTAGCTTCTTCAGTCACGCAGTGAAGATCCTCACGCCGTGGTAGCAGCGGCTGCCAAAGTAATGGTTTTTAGAAATCTGCAAAGTCAATCAAATCTCTGACGGCCTATCAGAAGCCATGTAGGCAAAAGCCCCACCTCGCTCCATCCCCTTTGGCGCCAGGAAAGGTGTTGGCAGGCAGCATGTTGGGGACCCCCAGTTTACTGGGCTGCGATGGTCCTGCTTCCAAGCAACTAGCCCTAGCCTTCAAGTTTCCTGGAGGCCTCTGATCTCGTTACCTGGCGTAAACCACGGCCGGAGGCCATTCTTCAATGACGATGTCAGGGTCACAGGGCTCCGGGGGCTGGTCTTGCAGTTCACCAGGGAGGTAGTATGCCACTGTCACGAGGTTGGTGATATCTGACGTGGATTCACCGGTATGAATTACGGTCACAACAGGAACAGTCATCCCCAGGTACAGCCCTAAGGGAAACAGGCTGTCGTTAGTGGATATCCTGCTGTCGCGGATTAGCTGTTTGTGGTGTTAATAAACCAACCTTTAATGGAATTTCATAGGCTTGCTCAACTCATTTGTTACTATTGATACTGAATGGATACCAATCAAGTAAAAATCTAGCATTTTTAAACCCTTCCTCAGTGGCTTGGGGAACAGAATCTGCCCCTTGCTCTTCTGAAGAAGAGGAGATTGGATTTATACCCCACCCTTCACTACCCAAAGGAGTCTCAGAGCGGCTTACAAACTCCTTTCCCTTCCCCTCCCCACAACAGGCACCCCGTGAGGTAGTGGGGCTGAGAGAGGTCTGACAGATTTTTTTTCGCTCTTTTTCAAGGACAGCTCTGAAAGAACTTGTGACTGACTCAAGGTCACACCAGCAGCTGCATATGGAGGAGTGGGGGAATCAAACCCGGTTCTCCCAGATTAGAGTCCGCGCACTTAACCACTGCACCAGACAGATCTCTGGAGGATAAGGCACCAAAATAAAGCAGGAGTATAGGGGCTTAGGGTTACTTCCATTATTTTAGAAAAAAAGGTACATTTAGAACTGATGGGTATACATCTCTTTCAGCCGTAGTAATGAATGTGCAATAACATTTTTTTAAAAAAACAAACAAACCCAAGGTTGTTACCTGCAGAATTCTGCTCACAAATGTATCTCATGAGCTTCATGAATCCGAGGCACACGCTCTGTTCGTACTGCGGTTCTTTCGCTTTGACGCAGGCCCACTTGCCCTTCCCGTAATGCCGTTTCTCATAGAGCACTTTGCCAAGCTGCATTTTTTTTAAACAACAAAAAAAGCCCCTTGAAATTTGTATGGCTAGGCAGCATTCAATACCATTCAAGCTACTGTCCCGCAATTCCACGTGCGACTAGTTGGGCAATAGCCTGGTTTCAGTCTAAATCAGAGAATACTGCAGAGTCTGAGATGCGGACCTCAGTCTGTTGACGAGGAAAGACCTACATGCCCAGCCTTCTCTTTTGCCTTCAAAGTTGTCCAGTGGTAATGAATTCAGTAGTGTTACAATAACTTTCTCCGTCACACTCAAGAAAATACAACTGTAAAATACTTCAGCTAGGATGGGGGTGCTGTGGGATCCCAAGGACTAGTGTTCCCTCTAAGCTGAGTTAGTGTGAGCTAGCTCAGAGTCTTTTAGCCTTGAGCTCACAGATTTTTGTCTTCGCTCAGGAAGGAGGGCTCCAGAGCAGACTGATCTATCCAGCAGCCAAATCGCTCGCTGACAGCTTTAATGCCAGTAGCTCACAAAGTAGAGTTTTTGCTCACAAGGATCATAGAATGTGAGAGTTGGAAGGGACCTTGCAGGTCATCTAGTCCGACCCCCTGTACTCTGTGGTAGTGTGGCTGAAAGGTAGCTCTACAACATACCCGAAAGAGGGTCGTCCAGCCTCTGCTTGGAAACGTCCAGTGAAGGAGCCTCCACCACCTCCCGAGGCAGACTGTCCCACAGCTTAGAGGGAGCACTGCCGATGACCCGATAAGATACCCAATAATATCAGAATTGGGAATCCTGTTGGAGAGGTGAGGGCAGCTAGGGAGGAGGGAGTGCTCCTTGAAGCTTTAAAGGGACATGATTTTCAGTGGGGAGGCCAGGTCTACTTCCATTGAAAATAACAGCCCTTTGAAACGGAAAGGACAAATGCACCAAAGACCCACTGAGGGGCACTCTAAATAATGGGTAGTAGACCTGGCCTTTGGGCTCCGAAGACCAGGTCTCTTGCCATAGGGAAATTTCTATAACCAGTTCCAGATGTTACTTTTGGGTGACAGCCCACGCCCATTCCACAGCCGATCTTCTGGCTGTTGACTGCACTGCTGGGGGCTCGGGGGCTGCATTTAAGTGTCGGTGTGTAAAGCTTCAGCACCATGATCATAAGAATCTATCTGACAGCTGGCAGCTGCACTGGATTCTGCCGGGTTGGACTTGGCAGAGGCAAGCCAAGTCACACTGATCTGATTGGCTGACCAATGTATATATGTAGATGTGTATCTCTGTACGTTCTCTCTTGGATGATGGATGGCGTCTGGCGGAGCAGTTTGTTGGCGAGCTGTATATATTGTAAATAAATTTCCAGTATATAGTAACCACTGGACTGTCTCCGTGTGGTTGACTATTGGAAAGCCTCTGGTGAGTGGAATGACTGCCGGTGAGTGCAAGTGTGACCGAGGTGCTGGTTCAACTTCTTCAAACGCGCTGCGCGACATTAAGGAGGCTGAGACTGGTGGGTGGGGCCACAGCTACAGTTGGCACCTGGAGATCTCCCACTATTACAATTGATCTGTCCCCCTGGAGAAAATGGCTGTGTCAGCTAGCTGCCACGGAAGACTGTGTATATGAATCCCCCCCCCCCCCGTCTGTTCGGCATCTGCGCATGCCTCCTGTATGGTCTGTGTGTATCGTTGTGTATCATTGGAAAGGTGGACATGGAATTCACTGCCACAGGAGGTGGCGGCAGCTATAAGCATGGACAGCTTCAGGAGGGAATTAGATGAGCATATGGAGCAGAAGTCCATCAGTGGCTCTTAGCCACAGGGTATAGATAGGAACTCTCAGGCTGGGGCAAGGGATGCTCTTTATTCTTGGTGCTTGGGGGGGGGGGGGGGTGACAGTGGGAGGGCTTCTGGTGCCCTGGCCCCACTGCTGGACCTCCTGGGGCACCTGGTGTTTTTGGCCACTGTGTGACCCAGAGTGTTGGACTGGATGGGCCGTTGGCCTGATCCAACATTGGCTTCTCTTATGTTCTTACGGACTCTGTGGCTGAGGTCCCTCCCCTCCCCAAACCCTGCCTTCTCCAGGTTCCACCCTCAAAATCTCCAGGTATTTCCCAACCCAGCCATAGCTCTGCCCAGCACAGGCTCCTCAAGGCGCCACAGGTAGACTGTGGGTTGGATCCAAACTAGCAGAGTGATGTTGGTGAAACAGGCCACCCTCACGGCATCCCACGGGACCCATCAAAGCTCGGCTGCACGGGTTCAACGGACCCTCACTGGGAGGGGGGAAATGGGCAGACATCGCCCTCCCCTCCTCTGGCAACGCAAACACTGTCCCACCCACCTCAATGGCACCTTACGCTCTAGTCTTGTATATCCATAACCAAGGTGCGTGCAACTGCAAGGGTGAATATTCTGCGAATGCTGTTGATTGGTGGGATGTTTTTGAACGTGGCTGCATTCCTAAAGCTTTCCCTCAAACATCTGCAGAAATTAAAAATGCAGTCAGGAGGAGTGGGAGCCTTCTGCTTTCCCCCCTCTAAAATCTTGAAACAGCTGCCTCTGAGCTACTTCCACACCTCCTACCCGTACCCTGACACACTTGTCTACACGTCCATGTTGTACATGTCCAGTGCAAGCCACATTTCTCTATTTAATCCACAGTAGGAATAAAGGCAATGACGTTAGATTTTTAGGTTAAGCTGGTCACAGAACTCGGCTAGAATAACTTTGTTTAGGGGCAGAAGCAAAGCTGTGACGGGTGCCTCTGCCTTTAAAAACTCTCCTCGTTCTCCGCTGCTACTCATTTAGTTTGTTTGAAAATCAGCGACTTGGAAGTGCATTTTTAAGGAAGAAATTACCTTTTCTTTACGGCTCATCACAGTAAACGGCACGCTCTCTCTCTCCTGAGAATGGTTATTTCTCGTCAGCTGCTGGATTGGTTGTGCCATATCTGTAAGACGACTATGAAACGGTTAAAATATCACAGGCATAAACACACCTGGTTTGTGTAAGCGAGAAAAGATTTTTGACCACAGTCCATTAAAAGTTGATGTAAATGCAATTTAAGTCAGTGAGACTTAAGCGAGACCACCCCGAGCACGCCTGGAGAGAACTGTAGAATTGTGCAGTGTGGATGGCTGAGGAAGACTTTTTAAAAAACTGGACTGCCTGTTGAGCTCTGGGCCACTACAGATCGCTTGAAGATCGGTGCTGTTCTCTTTAATCTCTTCTCTGGTGTGGGGAGGGGGCAAGGGAGGAGGGTGCTAAAAGCAAGTCAAGCAAGATTCTCTGGTGTGGTCAGACAGGCAGTCCTCCTTCCAGCTGAATTCTGAGTGGGAAATAAGGCACTGGTTATAATAAACCTGCCACTGGAAGGTGGCGTTGTGATAGAATAAGATGGTTAATTCACTGACGTTGGATGCACACATCATCCTGCAGTTCCTCTGGGGTTCCTTCCAGATGCCTTGGCCAGAGCTGAGAAGTACAAACGAGATTTTACCACTATCCCCTTGAGACCTTAAGGCAGGGGTGTCAAACATGTGGCCCGGGGGCCGGATGAGGCCCCCGGAGGGCTTCTATCAGGCCCACAGTGGAACCAGCGGTCTTCTGCTTCTTCTTCCAGTTCTGCTGCTGCTACATCATCGCAGATTTGCAGCTTACAGAGACACACACCTGAACAGCATACTCAAGATTGCAACAGAACAAACATTTTGACGCAATAATTCAGAGCAAGAGGTGTCAGTTGTCAGACACTGTTAAGTAAGCAAAATATTGCAAGAGTGCTAATGTTTTAAGCATGCTTGCATTTTAAGTAAAAAAAACAACCCAAACCTTTGTGTGTGTGTCCTTTATGTTTATATCTCCACTACCTGGCATTACATTTTATGGCACACATGGCCCGGCCCAACAAGGTCTCATTTATGTCAGATCCTGCCCTCGTAACAAATGAGTTCGACACCCCTGCCTTAAGGTCTAATTAATCGCTGCACCCTCACGGGACAGTTGCACATAGGCGTAATTAAATCTATTCCTCTTCTGTTCTGAAGTTAGAAGATTAAACCGGGTAAACCCAGTCTTGTTTTTTTGAAGGAATGAGTTTGGAATATCAAGGGGGCCTAAACCCCGGAACACCTCTGCAAGAGCTCCAGGTGATGTTTATGCTCAGAAATTCCAGACAGGCATCTGTAAGCGTTTTGTGCAGCCAAAACAACAAGAATTTTGCGGCACCTTAAGGGCTCACACACTTACTATGTAAGCTATAACCCACTTTACTCTGACCTAGGTGGCCCAGGATAGCGCGATCTCAGAAGCTAAGGAGGGCCAGCCCTGGTTAGTACTTGGTTGGGAGCAGCGTTCCCTCTGGGCTGAGTTTGTGTGAGTTAGCTCAGTTTCTTAGCCTCCGGCTCACACATTTTTGTCTTCGCTCAGGAAAGATGGCTCCAGAGGAAACTAATTTATGCAGTAGCCAAATCGCTCGCTCACCACTTTAATGCCAGGAGCTCTCAAAGTGGTATTTTTGCTCCCAAGACTCCACAGCTTAGAGGGAGCATTTGTTGAGAGGCCACCAAGGAAGGCGAGGGGCTCTCTGCAGAGGCAGGCAATGGAAACCCACCTCTGTTCCTCCCTCACCTTGGAAACCCTACGACGCAGGGCCCCTCAACCTTTCTGAACCTGTGGGTGCCACTGGAATTCTGACACAGGGCGGTGGGCGCAACCACAAAACGCCGCAGGACATGAAGCCAGCCGTAAAATGGCTGCTGCAGGAGGCGGAGCTAACACAGAGAAAGCCCAAGTGTGGGAGAGAAGAATACAAGAACTCGAGGGCACTCCGTGAAATTGCTGAACAGTCGGGTTAGAACGCATAAAAGGAAGTCCTTCTTCACCCAAAGAGTGATGAACACATGGAATTCACTGCCACAGGAGGTGGTGGCAGCTACAAACATGGACGGCTTCAAGAGGGAATTGTAGAAACATATGGAGCAGAGGTCCATCGGTGGCTCTTACCCACAAGGTATAGACCGGAACTCTCGGTCTGGGGCAAGGGATGCTCTGTCTTCTTGGTGCTTGAGGGGGGCAGCAGTGGGAGGGCTTCCAGTGTCGTGGCCCCACTGCTGGACCTCCTGATGGCACCTGGTATTTTTGGCCACTGTGTGACAGTGTTGGACTAGATGGGCCATTGGCCTGATCCGACATTGGCTTCTCTTAAGTTCTTATGTTCTAATGGCAATTTAAAAAAAATACAGTGGGGAAGAGGAGTGAGAGAGAATGAAACCAACATAGGCAGCAGCTGCCGCCAAAGACAACAAATTTGGGTAGTCAATTGGAGTCAACTGGGGCAAGGGATGCTCTGTGTTCTTGGGCAGGCAACAGTGGGAGGACGTCTAGTGTCCTGGCCCCACTGCTGGACCTCCTGAGGACACCTGGTATTTTTGGCCACTGTGTGATGGAGTGTTGGACTGAATGAGCCATTGGGGCCCCTACAAGGGGTCACTGTAAGTTGGCTGTAACTCGGTGGCACTTCCTACCACCGGATCTCAAGGTGGATGTGTTCATACATGTGTGTGTGTCTCTCCCCTCCCCCATACCACTGATCATTTCTCTGGAAAACCCATGAGGTGAATTGTCATGGGATCCCCGAGTTGGTTGCGACTCGACGACACACATGACGTTTGCAACTGCTTCAGTCGCAAGCAGTGTTCCCTCTAAGCTGAGCTAGTGTGAGCGAGCTCACAGTTTTTTAGCCTCCGTCTCACACGTTTTTGTCTTAGCTCAGGAAGGCTGGCTCCAGAACAAAGTAATTTACGCAGTAGCCAAATCGCTCGCTCACAACTTTCATGCCTGGAGCTCACAAAGTAGAATTTTTGCTCACAAGAGTCCACAGCTTAGAGGGAGCATTGGTCTCAAGTACGCTGAAGTCAGCTAGTTTTCGTGGGTCCGTTGTGCGGATGGTCTTGCCTTTTGGAATGGACTTGCGCTTTGCAGTCTTATCCCGGGGGGAGCCCCCTCATCCTAGGAAAGCTGGGGTATCCATCATCTTTGAAATGTGGAAGAGGATTTTACAGTGCATCTGATGTAGACTCCTGCAGTAACTCCTGTGACCCCCCCCCCCCTTTGAGAGTGAATGAAATGCTTTAACAAAAAGGTTTTGCTCATTCCAAATGTACAGCATGGCAAGTTTTATGTAAGGTGCTCTGCGTGTGTGCAAAGGGCCATCCAATCACTTCTGACTTATGGTGACCCTCTGAATTAATTATCTCCAAATGTCCTATCATTCACAGCCTTGCAAACTGAGGGCCCTGGTGGCTTCCTTGATTGAGTCCATCATTCTCATGTTGGGTCCGTCTCCTTACCGCCTTCAGCTTCTCCTCACATGACTGTCTTTGAGTCTTGCTTTCTCATAATATGACCAAAGTAAGATAGCTTCAGTCTGGTAATTTTGGCTTCCAGGGAGAGTTCAGGCTTGATTTCATCCAGAACGCACTTATTTGTCTTTCTGGCAGTCTGTGGTATCCATAGAACTCTCCTCCATCCATAGAACTCTCTTCCAACACCGTATTTCCAATGGATCAAAGTTCTTCCTGTCAGTTTTCTTCATTGTCCAACTTTTGCACCCATACATAGTAATGGGGAATAGTGTGATATGAATTATCTTGGCTGCCAGCAGCACATCCTTACATGGCCCCTTCCAACTCTGTGATTCAAGAATCTTTTCTAGGTCGTTCATGGCTGCCCTTCTCAGTCTCCTGATTTCTTGGTGGGTTGATGATCGAACCAAGGAAACAATTTCAATTTCTTCATTGTCAGCCTTAAAGTTGTGCAGTTCCTCAGTCATTACTTTTACCTTCTCGATGTTCAGGTGTAATCCTACTTTTGGCACTTTCTGCTCTAACCTTCATCAATGAAGATACTCTATAGTAAATCCATACTCTATAGATACCCTATAGAGTAAAAATACTCTACAACGTTAGATCATGCCTGTGAATATTGTAGACATACACAGCATATTTTCTCGGCTATGTTTACATGTGAATAATTTTGTCAACCATTAATATCCCTTAATCAATTTGACAGTATTTTATTGTCAGTGTTGTCACTGTAGTAAAGCTTAATTTGCTCTCCAAATATGCTGGGGTGGGAATGTTTCTGACCAAATGCATTTTCTTTTACTTGAAAAGTTCCTAATATTAATGTTTCCCCCCTACCTCTTAGGTGGCAAAAACTAATATATGGGTGAAATTTAGCAGTTTGCAGCATTCTGTCAAGTTTGGGTATAGATCAAGATGAGTAGATGTGTTTGTTTATATCAGTGGAAAAAAGTGAGAGTCCAGTCGCACCTTAAAGACTAACAAAACTTGTTGCAGGGTAGGAGCTTTCATGAGTCACCGAAGACATGAGCAGTGACTCATGGAAGCTCATATACCCTGCTGCAAAGTTTGTTAGTCTTTAAGAAATTTGGGTATATATTTGCAATTCCGCTTCTATAAAACGAAAGCATTTATGTTCCATAAATAATGCAAATTGGTGCAGGGTTGTTTTTTTTAATACGGTACAGTCATAATCGATTTGTTGTTAAAGCAGGAAGTACATTTAGACTGATAGCGAAGTAAGTGTTGTCTAGATCCCCTTCCTCAAAACTCACACACACACAGGGCTTCTAAAGTCTCAGGAAACTTGACATCTCTAGTCCCAGTTTCATTTGGGCATTCAATGCCCCCCTCCGCCACTGCCAATGCTGCCCTGTTGGGTCTGCCAGGAATCAGGAATCAGGACCCTGCCTCTTGGGACCTCTTTGTCCAGCAGCTGCCACCCCCACCCCCCTCCTGGCCATCAGTCTGCTCACCCCCTCCCCAATCAGGTGCCACTCCTTGGCTCCAGTTACTCCCTAGTAGGCAGCAGGGGCGGGGGGTGCTGCTGGTGCCCCAAGGCCCTCTCCCCGGCCCCCCTGCTCTCCGAGGTTGTGGGTCAGCCCTGCCACCGCCCTTGGCACGTTTTTTTTTGGGGGGGGGTGATTATTCCAGGCACTTTTCCTTCTTGGCAGCCTAAAATAGTTAATTCACAGCACACACGCCTTTTCTTGTACCCCCCCCCCTACTGGAGGGCAGTCCCGGAGCACCTTTCAAGCCGGGAATCATCAGTGTTCCCTCTAAACTGAGTGAGTGTGAGCCAGCTGACAGTTTCTTAGTCTCTGGCTCACAGATTTCTGCCTCCGCTCAGGAAGGGATGGGGCTCCAGAGCACACTGATGTAATGCAGCAGCCAAATGGCTCGCTCAGAACTGTAACGCCCGCAGCTCCCAAAGTAGGATTTTTGCTCACCGGACTCCACCGCTTAGAGGGAACACTGGCCGGGAGGGGGCGGGGCGGTGGGTTGGAGGGAGCTCTGCCGCTGCTTGGCGCCCGGGGAGCGGCGCCTGGTTCCCCAACAGGGAGCCCGCCGGACAACCGACCCCGCGGCTTCTCTCTCTCCCCCTCCACTCACCGGGCGGGACGTCCACGCGGTGGCCCCGGCCCACCCGCTGCCAGAAGCCGAGCAGCCGCCGCTCCTCCGCCATCCCCTCGTCGTCCCCCTCCGGCTCCCGGGTCCCCTCGGCGGGCGCCTCGCCCAGGCTCTCCAGCTCCTCCAGCGTGATCGCCCCCTCCGCCTCCGCCTCGCCCCCGGCCCCGCTCATCCCGCACCGGCTCCGAGCCTCGCTCTGCATCGCGGCACACCACGCCCGCTCCCGCCGCCGCCGCCGCCGCCCCTTTATATCTCTTGGCCACCACAACGCTCCCTCCGAGCTGTGGAGCCTTGCCAGCAAAGATTCTACTTTGTGAGCTCCCGGCATGGAAGTGGTGAGCCAACACTGGGGGCAAGTCATTCTAGCTGTTGTAGTCAAGTGCCATATCAATGTTCTCTTTGTCATAGTCACTTCTTCCGTTTTTTTTGTTTTAATTTTTTTTATTGAAGCTTATATACATTACATTAAATCATTATACCATCATTTTATCCCCCTCCCTCCGCCCTCCCTCCTTGTAGTATTTTCATATTTTTAACCATGTGCACAGATTCTTCATTCGTATTTGGATATTTGGATTGGCTTCCCCCCTTTCCACCCATTCCTTATATCCCACCCATTTGTTTGTAATCTTTTGACATTTCTCCTCCCATGTCTCTTCAGTAATTATCTGTGCGAATATATCTAATTGTACGCATTCAAAGACATAATTATTCCAATTTTCCATTGTCCATTTGTGCCTATTCCTCCATCCCAATGCTATTACAGCCATCCCGTCTAAAACCATAATTTTATATAACTCCCACTTATTTCTTTCCACTTTTTTGTTTCACTTCTTCCATTTTAAGACCCAAAAGTACTGATAATAAAAAGTTTAAAAAGAAAAAAAATGAAGTGGTGAGCCGAGCCATTTGGCTGCTGCGTATATTAGTTTGCTCCGGAGCCCTCCTTCCTGAGCCAAGGCAAAAATGGGTGAGCCAGAGGCTGGAAAATGGTGAGCTGGCTCACACTGACTCGGCTTAGAGGGAACACTGGTTGTGAGCGAGCCATTTGGCAGCTGCATCAATTAGTTTGCTCTGGAGCCCTCCTTCCTGAGCGAAGAGAACAAATGTGTGAGCCTGAGGCTGGAAAACGGTGAGCTGGCTCACACTCACTCGGCTTAGAGGGAACACTGCTCTTGGGGGGGGCATGCAAACTTTCCCCCTCCTCTGCTGAAATCTTTTGGCAACCCTGCCCTGTTCTCGCTGGGCTCCCCGTTGACATGCTTGCCAGGTCTCCCCCACCGCGGTCCCAGCGCCCCGCAGTCCAGAGAGCCCGCAGCTCCTCAGGAGAGACCCGGCGCAGATCTAACACCTCTCTGAAGGGTCTGTGCGCCTTGCCTGTGGCCGCCCTCCCTTGAGTAGCCGTGCATCTCACGCTGGAATCACTCCTTCAGTGAAGGAACATTGCCTTCTGTCTGTCCTGAACTTGTTACCCCTCAGCGTCATTCAGTGCCCCCCAAGTTCTAGAATTATGGGGAAAGGAGAAAAAGCTTTCCCCGCTTTCTCTCCCCATGCATAATTTTAAAAATCTCTGTCACTTCCTCCCCTTATCAGTCTCATCCCCCCCCCCAACTGCAAATTCCCAGCAAACTTCAGACTTTTCTCCTAGGGAAGGGGCTCCGACCCCCCTCATCGTCTCAGTCGCCCTCCTCTGCACTTTTTCCAGCTCTGCAGTGGTCCTTTTGGAGATACGGTGACCAGAACTGTTGCAAGTATTCCACGTGAGGCGACACCGTAGATCTACACAGGGGAATTACAATATCAGCGGTTTTATTCTCAATCCCTTTCCTAATAATCTCTGACACAGACGTTGCCATTTTCACCACTGCAACAAACAGGACCACGGTGTGTAATAGCCAATGAAACAGTAAATCACCGTGTACAATTAAACAATATTTGTTGGTTTTTATATGCAATGTTGCGAATTCAGTTATTACCAATAACACTACAATATGTGATATAAAGCTTAGCAGTACATACAAAGTAATACAATACTAGTTACAGACAAACGACGGAGTTCTAGTACACTATCCGTTTGCGCGTCCTTCATCAGGTTTGTCATTCTGCAATTATTTCTTCATTAGAATGAAGTGCTGCAAGCCATATTTCAAAATGCTTATACAGTTTTTGACGTACGCGACCACGCTTAGATTCTGGTGACTGGGGAGCTCCTATAGCAAGCTCTAATGTGACTGGGTCTACAGCATATAATAATTGGCTAAGCTTCCCTCAGTGTGGCATAATGTCTCAAAGGAATCTCTTAGCCAATTATTACTTTGTATTACTTTGTACTGCTAAGCTTTATATCACATATTGTAGTGTTATTGGTAATAATTGAATTCGCAACATTGCATATAAAAACCAACAAATATTGTTTAATTGTACACGGTGATTTACTGTTTCACTGATTTTCACCACTGCAGCACCCTGGGTGGACGCTTTCATCGAGTTTTCCGCTACAACCCCAAGAGCTCTTTCAGTCTTACTCTCAACTGGTTCCAGAGCCAGAAGATGCGTATGGGGGGTGGGGGGGTATGTGACCACAGTGGTGGTGAGCACATCGTTATTTATTTACTTTATTATGAATGAGCTGTGATGTAGTGCAAAGTTTCTTAAAGGGATCGTTCTACAAAGGAGGTTAAATGATAATCGATTTTGTTTAAAACCAAATACCTGAGTCAGTTTGGTGTAGTGGTTAAGGGCGCGGACTCTGATCTGGGAGAAACGGGTTTGATTCCCCCACTCCTCCACTTGCGCCTGGCTGGATGACCTTGGGCAAGCCGTAGCTCTGATAAGAGCTGGTCTTGAAAAAGAGCGGTTTCTCTCAGAGCTCTCTCAGCCCCACCTACCTCACGGGGTGTCTGTGGTGGCGAGGGGAAGGGAAAGGAGTTTGTAAGCCACTCTGAGACTCCGAGTGAAGGGCGGGGCATAAATCCAATCTCCTCCTCCTCTTCTTCTTCCTCTTCCTCCTTCCTCTATTCTCTCTTGCTCTAGATTGCAAGACTAGATCTAATGGGTAGAAATTACAAGGGAGTCGTTACCGACTAAATATCAGGAGAGACTTCCTAACTGTAAGGGTAGTTGAGCAGTGGAACAGACTGCCTCGGGAGGTGGTGGAGGCTCCTTCGCTGGACGTTTTCAAGTGGAGGCTGGACGACCATCTTCCGGGTCTGTCGTAGGGCTCTCTTTCGGCTGTGCTCCTGCAGAGTGCCAGGGGGTTGGGCTAGATGACCTGAGAGGTCCCTTCCAGCCCTGACGTTCTATGATTCTAAAAGGGAAGGCAAAATTGTTGCCAGCACCAAGTCATTACCGCCATCTTACAGAGATTTTAAAAAGCTGTGATGCCCCAATCCACTGTGGGCTTCTGGGGCAGGAGGCTTCCCCCCTACCCCAAGTGTTTTCAAGGGCCAAAACAACTGCGTGGTCACCAGCTAGGACTGCCAGGTCCGTTAGACATGCCGGTGGGGTGATGGGGGGGGGTCGTTCCGGGAGCCGGAGGCATCGCCACCCCCACCCCCCACGTGCCGTCACTACCAGACGTGACATCATGTGCTGTGCCTAGAAGAAAAAGAGATTGGGTTTATATCCCGCCCTTCACTCGGAGTCTCAGAGCTTCTAACCATCTCCTTCCCTTTCTCTCCCCACAACAGACACCCTGTGAGGTAGGCGGTGCTGAGAGTTCTTTTGAGGACTGCTCTTGAGACAACAGCTCTGAGAGAACTGTGACTGGCCCAAGGTCACCCAGTTGGCTGCACGTGGAGGAGTGGGGGAATCAAACCCGGTTCTCCCAGATTAGAGTCCACCGCTCTTAACCTGTTACACCAAACTCGCCCTCAAACCATAGAGTTTTGCCCAGAAACCAGAGCGTCGCCCCCCCCCCCCTTGATGGACCAAGAGGGGTCTGGTTCAGTATAAGGCAGCTTCATGGGTTCATGCTTTACAAAGGAGTATCACTGCAGAGCTGAGCGGTATTTAATTAATTCATGTAAAGCATGAGCGAATCTTGAAATAACCTTAATCATGTTAGATACTGGCATTTAGTGTTCTCGCTGTGTTACTTTAAACTTATTGACAGATTCGTAAACATCATGAGACACGTACATCTGCACAGAATGAGGGGGCAGGGGTTGGGAGAGAGAGAAATCAGAGGAACTCATAAGAACATCAGAAGAGCCCTGCTGAATCAGACCAGTGAGGGTCCACCTAGTCCAGCCCCCTGTCTCACGCAGTGGCCAACCAGTTCCTCTGGAGGGCCAAAAGACAGGGCAGAGAGGCCCAGGCCTTCATCAGAACATCCAAAGAGCCCTGCTGGGTTCCTCTAGTCCAGCATCCTGTCTCACACAGTGCCCAACCAGTTCCTCTGGAGGGCCAGCAACAGGGCAGAGAGGCCAAGGCCTTCCCCTGAGAAGAACATCAGAAGAGCCCTGCTGGATCAGACCAGTGAGGGTCCACCTAGTCCAGCCTCCCGTCTCACGCAGTGGCCAACCAGTTCCTCTGGAGGGCCAGCAACAGGGCATAGAGGCCGAGGCCTTCCCCTGAGAAGAACATCAGAAGAGCCCTGCTGGATCAGACCAGTGAGGGTCCATCTAGTCCAGCCTCCTGTCTCACGCAGTGGCCAACCAGTTCCTCCGGAGGGCCAGCAACAGGGCATAGAGGCCGAGGCCTTCCCCTGAGAAGAACATCAGAAGAGCCCTGCTGGATCAGACCAGTGAGGGTCCACCTAGTCCAGCCTCCCGTCTCACGCAGTGGCCAACCAGTTCCTCTGGAGGGCCAGCAACAGGGCATAGAGGCCGAGGCCTTCCCCTGAGAAGAACATCAGAAGAGCCCTGCTGGATCAGACCAGTGAGGGTCCACCTAGTCCAGCCTCCCGTCTCACGCAGTGGCCAACCAGTTCCTCTGGAGGGCCAGCAACAGGGCATAGAGGCCGAGGCCTTCCCCTGAGAAGAACATCAGAAGAGCCCTGCTGGATCAGACCAGTGAGGGTCCACCTAGTCCAGCCTCCCGTCTCACGCAGTGGCCAGT